TTCCCCTTTTTTTGGATGTTGCCTTTGGACACTCCAGTTTTCATTCCCCTTTTTGCGGACTCGTAGTCAGCGCACGCAAGCTGCCTGCTCCATCAAGCTGGACATCTCCGAGATGGGAGACACCTGGGGAGTGATTGGGGTGGACAACTACCTGGCTTTTCGAACCGAACTCCTCGGGATCATCCATGTTCTAAGCATAATGATTGCTACTTGAAGTGTACTGGGTCAAACCCTGAAAACGCAGGGCCGCGGAGCTACTGGCAGGACCTTTCTGTCGACCCAACTTGGATTGGTCTTTGCCATTTCTGCGGGCTCAAATCCCAGGTCCTTGCACGAACGGGGTCCCTGATGGTGCGTGTGCTTTCAGGACTTGCGTAAGGAGATGTAAAGCGTAACTCAGGAATCGATCGGAGTTCGTCCGAACTTGCTTCCAATTCTTGCTATATACTCATTAGGTTCCAAAAAATGCTCCAAAGCTCATGAGTGTAGCTGACCTGTCCACGTCTATGCGCATCCAATGACATCGATCCTGGAGTCCTTCCACGTCTTCCCCGTATATGGATCGCCCCCTTTCATTCGTCTCCACAGACATCCCCTGGCGCGTCGTTCCGCGCGACTTGCGGCAAAGCACCACGTTTTGCAAGTCTTTCAACTCCTTGCGACTTGAAGCACAGGTCTCCACCACGCTCCGCAAGGTTTGGTGGAATCCTCTCCTGGGGTGCCGAAATCAGCATCGGGACATGAGGATTTCATGTCGAGGACAGAGGACAGCGGGGAAACCGATGGGAGAGCTAGGATTCACTTTCCACATGGCCACGGAACCTTTCGGACGTCAAGCGTGAAGAACAAGGGGACCATGGAAGGCATTGAGTTTGGCATAGTTTGACCATCTCCAATTTAGTTCCAGCGATCTTCAATCACCAGACCCGGCCTTGACTTCCGAATTGATCGGGCCGTGTCTGCATAGTCTTACTGTATCCGAAAGATCCTTCCCAAAGGACACTTCTTTGCAATTGATCTCACGGTCGAAAGCAAGACAATGCAAAACAATGCAAAACATATATCATTTGCCATCATTAAGAGGCTCAAGTTCATTATGTCATTCTGTTCATTCCAGGAATGTCCAGTGGTCTACGAAGATCGATCTCAAGATCCGAGTCACATTTGTGAAAACTCGCGGATGAGGTTGTCGAACTTGGCGGAAAACCTGAGATGGGCAATCTGCTAGGGGAGAGCCATGGCTTGAGAACGTGCGATGCCTAGTGAAGATGGCAAGAGTTCTAGTGGGGGCGACATGTCCACTGTGTTCCAAGCATGTCCAAGCGACTCCTCTTACCTCAGGGGAAGTTTTAAGCACAATCTCACTTCCAAGAAACGACCCCACCGTGATATCCATCTGTTGCTGTCTCATGGAGGCGTTCAACCTCAGCAGCTCCTGGCACCAAGCGCCCAGGATGCAAGAGTTGGTCTACCCAGTTCCAAATCAATGAAAGAAAGCCACCTATAAACCAATACCTGCAGCCTTAAGTCGTGATTCTTTCACCACCTCCACCACCGTCCAGTCACTCCCGTCGTCTTCGAGTCGGTCGCCGTCTCGCCCGCTCCTCGCAATGCGCTCGGAGCCGCTCGCACTCGTTGTTCTCCGGCGTGCGGCTTTCACTCCCCGCGCGGTCGCGCCGGGCCTCCTTGGGTCGTTGTTCGCATGTGACGTCAGGGCCCCGAGGCGGAGAAGCGTCACACAGTCACGGTGAATGATCCAAGTGAATGTTCCAACAAATTGAGTCGACATTCTCCTTTCATCTCATTCCATGGCTCTCCACTCAATTCCCTTTGGGCCTCACATGGCCGAAGGTGCCGAGCTGCGGATCGGACGTCCTCCCGGAACGACTTGACGGCGGCCGCCGGATCCAACGGCGAGCTGCGCACCTCGGGGGCGTCACCATGGCCGGGACGGGTGACGGTGGGTGACCGGCCTGGTGCAAAAGTTAGGAGACAAAAAGATCCTTGGAGGATCTTGAAGGGAAGTCCCTTGAACATCCTTGAAACATGTCTCACTATGTCTCACTTCTTGCCATGATACTATAGGCCTGGACCACTAGACCAACTGAATAAGTTGGTACATTCGTAGGTGGACCTTTGGTCCTGGACTGAGTGGGCAAACTCCACCTTTCCCCTTTAGTCGTTTCTTTCGCGTTTCACACGGTGTTGATGGGTCGATGGTGGATGTTGGGAAACACATCGCTTCTGCTGCAGTCAGCCTTGGTGGTCCCCGATCATTTGCACGGTGGGTGCAGCTGCGGTGTTCTTCAGCTGCTCGCTCCCGCTACAGCGCTGGGAAAGGTGTTTTTTTCAGTGAAGATGGCCAAGTGAGCATCGGGGAAGCTGACGACGTCGACAAGCGAGCCAAGCATCCCTTCGTTCACTTGGTTGAAAATCCCTTTTAGATTGGATATGATATGACTGGCCAGGTCCATTTCCACTGGTCACCATCATCCATAGCTGGGGGTGCCGGTGCCATGGTAGGGGAGGAGCAACCAGGTAGACTCAGTGAACTGTCATTGACTCGAATTGACCAGGTAGACTCAGTAGACCAAGGGAACGATCTTCCAAGACACTTTTGCCTGACCCAGTTGGTCACCCCAACAGCTTTGGTCAACTAAACTGACTTGTCAATTATCAAACTGATTCTGTATGGAAAAGAAATGGACCCTTGGTACCTTGGGGATAATGGAAACCAAGGGTCCATTTAACAGGTACATTGATTGCATTCTGCCAGAAATGGACCCGAACGGTTGACCTCCCTTGACCGAGGATGTGCCCAGAACCGAGGCACCGCCCAGTCCTCGCCCGATCTGCCCTCGACCTGGCAAGGACCGTGGTGCTTCGTAGCACTCATTCAAATGTTAAACATCATTTTTTTAGCCCTTCTGCAACAAGGAAGGAAGGAAGGAAGGAAGGAAGGAATATATCAAACAATCCATCAATAATAGCAATCCATGGATGACAGCTGAGCGGCTGACAAGAATGCACCGAACTTCCCACCGACTCTGCGACTCCCCATCCACACGCCTGCCGCATCTCAGATCTCGGGCGAACTGCGGGCAAGTTCTCAGGTGCCTGATTCACCGTTGCTTCGCGTTGCTTCGCGTGGCGAGCGACTTGCAGCGAACGGAGACAGATCCATCGCGGCCACTAGCGACGGCCGAGCGAGCATGGATCGGTCGTCCTTTCCTTCAGGTCCTGTGAAACCAGAAAGGGCGAATTGTTGATGTCCATGTTGGGTCGCCCGGATGCACCATGAAAGCCGGATGAAGATGATGAAGATCACAAAAACAGACCTGCAGCCCAGTTCTCAATGTTTTGTTTATAGCTGCATGGGACGCTCCTGTAACTGCGTCCAGCTACCTTTTCGGCAAGGTTGATTTATATAATTGATGAGAAAATCGTCTCTAATTTTGGGAAAACTCCCAACATGCCCTGGTAGCAGGGACAAACAAATTGGTCTGGCTGTCTCATGACCCACACTCCATGCATCTCCATGCCTACATTGACCAACATCTCTCAACCACTCCAATGTGGGTCGTGGGTCTTCGGTCATGTTACTAGTAGTGATTCCAGGAGCCCCGTTCGGCTCGCGTCCTAACGCTCCGTTCGTTACGTACGGCCAGGTTCGCCCCCGTTCGCCTCCTATCCTCGCGAGACGTCCTAACGCTCCGTTCGGACGTCGCGTCCCACCTCTCGCAGCGGCGCCTTCTCCTCGCCGAACCTGGCCGGTGGACCGGTGGGGTCCCGACGTGACGTGACTGAGCTGAACGCACTGGAGCGTTCACCAGAATGGTTCAGGAAGGAAGGTTTTTTTTAATGGTTTTTAAGATAAATGTGCATTTAAGATATTTAAGTGATGACTGGAAGCATGTGACTTTGCATCAAGACTTGGCCAATGGACAAGATACTATCAAAGGGATCCTCTTGATGGAAGAACTCTGAAGACGTCCACCAAAACCCCACAAAATTCCGGGATTGCAGGACATTGAATACCACAAAAAACTATCTCAAAATCTGTGAAAATGACTGAATTTCAAAACAAAAGAAACACATCAACACAACACAAGATACAAGCCACCCATTTCAATGACTGGCATGGATTTTGCATCCTGCATCCTGCATCTGCACCCAGTGTTCTTCTCCGTCCCCCGTCTCGCTTTCCCTCTCTCCGCTTTTCGCGGCCTGGCGAGCGTCTCGCGCAGCGGCAAGCGCTCGGTGCGGGGCGCGTAGAACATCACCGGTGACGCCGTCCACGACCGTCGTGGTTCGAATGCGGGTTCAACCGTCGGGTCCGGTGGTCCGGAGGTGAAAAGGTCTATTTGGAAAGGAGGTCTTTTCATGGCAAGAAATGATATGGATGATATTCAAATGCTATTAAAATTATTGTTTCTCTCGTAAGAAAAGGTGCGGTCCCATGCTTGCCAGAATTGTGTTGACAGTGATTGAGATCTCTTTCCAAATGCGGTGACGACGAGAGTGAGTGGGAAGGTGTGCTTCTTGCCACTGCCGGCATTTCATGAGGCAAGAGCATGCTGCGGCAATTGCTTGGTAGCAATCTTGAACCAGAATGTCAAGCATCATGCAGGTTTGGGTTCATTCAGGACAGAGAGAGGAATTACTACATCCTTTGCTTCAGAATTGTCTGTTGGACTCCTGCAATCACTTAAATTGATAGCCGCAAAGTCTGCAACTTGTCTTTCTGCATAGATCCTTCTGGCGCAAGCGCCGATTGCTTTGCAATCGATTCCAGGACAGTCCGCGTTCTAAAACCTCCAGCGGACCTGCAGCCGACTTCGCAAGTCGGACCGGCAGAGTCCTTATGTTACATCTCGAGCCTTTTCTCGAGTCGCCGAGTTTCTGCTTCCACACAACACTCGTCGAGTTTCTGCTTCGGTCCACCCAAAGAAGACTTAACATGACTTAACATGTTATTGAGAGACTGTTTGAGAGCTTGTATCACATCGGTCTTCCCGTCTCCCCGTCATCATTTCTCCGTTGAAAGGACTTGCCACCGGCGCTGGCGCTCAACGGCAAGCTTTAACAGCGAACTTGCGCTGAGGCCACGCTGGCTCCACGGCGCTCCGGATTCCGTGCCTTTGGCAGAGTTGGAGCCATTCCGAATTCGAAGCCATTCGCTCTTCACAGCATCCTTCATCAGTCCAGTTGGAGCAACTCGACGAACTCCTCGAAGGAGAGCTCGCCCCCGCTCTCCTCCACGTTCGCCAGGACCGAGTCCACAAAGCCCTCGTCCTCCCGAAGGTTCGAGACAGAGCAGTCGCTCGTTTGCACCCCCTTGTTGAATGAATCATCTCTTTCCAAGAGAGCCACCATTAAGGCAAATCATGGATGTCTAGGGCCTAGGGGTTCTGGATGGATCTATGGATCTGGATCTATCATGGATGGATCTGGGGAGAGCTTGTACTACTGGAGATCGAGATGTGTTGACTTCGTTTACGTCGTGGCCTTCCTACCTGAATCGCTTGCATCCAGTCTCTGATGGGTTGTGCCTGATGCGAAGAGTCGTTCAAAGGAGCTTGCGCACTACTGGCAAGAATATCACCGACCTCTAGAATGTTTGCTGGATGCAATCTGGCTTGGGAAACTCTCAGATCAACACTTAATAGCGATACCGGGAAATTACCCGGTCTACCCGGTATGGGAAACCCATTCCGAAACCCACCAAAATCGATCACAGTGCACCAAAGCGGCTTTGCTGGCCCAGGGCAAACCTCCACCCAGTCTGAGACTTAGCCCTCTGGCGCCCCTCATCAACTCGCCCAGTCTGCGCGGTTGCGCCTTCTTCGGAAAGAGTCCCTGCAAAGCTTCGCCCTCCAGAACTAGCCGAAGATTCTCCTGGGAGATGCTCCCCACATTGCTCCGGTCGAAATCCTGCGACAGGCCGCGTCGGGAGTTCGGCGGCGGGCCCGAGCTTAGTGGAAATGGGCGGAGCAAGGCTTCCTTTCGATAAAACGTATTACTAAGTACAAGTAACCCAGACACTCCATGTATGCCATATACTACATTGACCCCCAAAACTATCCCAATGTAGGCATATATGGCACACATGGAGCGTCTGGGTAAGATCGAGATTCAAACCCATTTCAGTTGCACCTTCCACCATCTTCCTGAGTTCTTTGGTCCTGGAAGGCAGCCCAAAGCAAATCACGACGTTCCATGAGCTGCGAGTCCATGATGGCCGCCTCCGCAAGCGGACGGAAAACATGGGATGTGCCAAAGTGGCGTCCAAAGATGTACCGTGGTTTCTACTAGTAGCTCCTGGCCTTACTACTAGGAGCAAGAAGCTGGTGCAGACCTGAAAACATCTGAAAACACTGTACTTCAGACTTCAGTGACTTCAGTGGTCTATTTTTTCGAATGGCAGCCCTACTTTTGGAAGCCACCCGTCCGCTCTGGGCAATCTGAGAATCCGAATGTCTTGCAGCAACCTCTATGCCTCGGAAACATGTCCGGGTGTTTGTCCTGTAACATTCAAGCTTGCATCATCCATGGCAGCAAGCTATGACCAGAAGCCTCCCCCCCGGTTTTCTACCTTACTACTATAGCGACTCTTGTCTAACGCGTCCACCCGTCCTCACTCCGTCCCGGTCGGCCGCGCCAGGAACTCGCTGTAGTCGATCTCACCGGATCCGTCGGTGTCCATGGCCACAAAGGCCTGGCACCGGACCACCGGGGTTCACCCTAAATGAACAAGTCAGTGGTATAGATCTTATGATGAATTGTGGAGACAGAATGATACAGCTCAACAGATAGCTCAAAAATATGGAATCATTTTTTGGGGTGCGTTGGTTTTGTGAAGTTCGCATGCTTCAATCTCCTCACTACCAAAAGTCTCTACCCACAAGCCAAACGTTTGGCGAACCAAATCATTCTTGTGGCGAACCGTAACATCTAAACAATTCAAAAGCGGTCGGTCTTCCTTTGATGTGCCCAGGCCACAGTTACCATGATGTTTGTGATGTGTGTATTTCTGTCGAAGCCCCGTTCGTTGGGTCGAGGATGGGTGTCGTTGGCATCCGACTTGGCCTCAGCGGTAGCTGCCGGGCTGTTGGCAGTTGGACGGATCCACTCTACCGTGTCTTCGAAGCCCGTCGAAGTGACGTGGGACATCGTGGGACACTGTCCAGTTCAGTTCGATTTCAGAAACTTCGCCAGGAAACACGGGAGAATGAGAAAGCTCTATAATTACAAATAGTAACAAGAAAAACCAGTCAGTGATTACTCTCGACTTCTGCACATAGTTCTTTTTTTTGCGGTACTCTTCCTAATCACACAATTTCAGTATAAAGTAATATCACCACCAGGAAACTTGGTTGGGGGATTTGCCGCTTTGCATGAAACTGGAGCCTCCCAAAAGAAAATGGAAGGAGGCAAGCGAACACACATTAGAAACATTCATGAACGCCCTGGTCGTGGACCTTTGGAGTCTATTCAAAAACTGGTGAGTTTTGAATTGCGGGACCATGTATAAAACAATATGACTTCTTGTTCATGAACCTATATACTTCGTACTTATATTATTCCTCATCTTCCTCGATCTCAGCACCTTCCGTGAACAGACACGATCTCGCGCGAGCGCGATCCATCGAGCCTGTTCCATCCAATCGGCGGAGCGCGCGAAGCGCTCGCCCACCAAGGAGAAGCTGATCTGCCACTCCTGGCATCTCCAAAGGCAAGGGCAATTGCAAAGCGACGCATGTATGCAGCAAGAACAAATCAGATCAGACCGTCTGACCAGCATCTAGATGGCTCAATTGTCAATGGAGACACCCCAAACTGATTGGCAAGAGGAACTAAGCTTCAATTCAAAAGCTCCGCATTCTCACAAAACATCACAAAACGACAAAACGACAAAACATCAGTCTCACGCGGTCAGGAGAGATAATTCTCAAAGGCTACACCCACCTGTTTGGAGATGGCACCATCTCCATTGCCATCCACCGATTCGAAGATCTCCCGCAACTGTTGGAGCTCATAGCCTCCGAGGTGCCGGGCCGCCGAGGTCAACACGGCCTGGCGAGTGCGGGAACCGTGGAACCACACGAGCCGGTGGAACGAAGGCAAAAAGCCCGGTGAATCCGAGACATTAGGGTGATCTATAGGTAATATGGCGGTATGGCTTAGGTATATATAGCTCAGACTTAGCAGCTGTAGCAGCTGGAATTTTACAAGCTAAGTCAGGCCTCAATGAAATAATTACTGAACCTTGCTGAAATGGGATTCCAGTTGCATGTCCAGTTGCTTTGCAGCTACACACGTCAAACGTGGTTCCGATTGGTAGGCAAACGAAGAGTTGGAAGGCCATCCGTGTGACATCCAATTCATTCTGCTGCTGGATGTCTAAAGTTTCAAACCATAAGCTCAAACCCTAAGCGCCTAAGAAACCATAATATCATTCCAAAATATATTATAATATATACCTGCTCCCCCATATGGGAAGATTTTTCTTGTTATACGCATGTGGCAAAAAAAAAGTTGGCGTTCGGCCAAACACGGTTCCAAGAGATATTCACGATGCAGCACCGTTGTTTGCTCAAGCTGCACGGCTGCTTCACTTGGTGCTTTGTGGCCCCGTTTGGGGCTTAGCAGTGAGAAAGGGGCATGCTCTAATGAGATATCTCTGCAACGTCCGGAGAGAGGCCGCAACAGCAGCTGTTCTGCGGCTGGTGCGGCCGATTTGGCCGACGAAGTCCTTAGCTTTTGTTTGGAGAGTTTGAAATTCAAGGGGCATCCGGGGCATCGAGTTCTGGTTTTAAGTATATCCTCATAGCTCAAAAACAAATATCCCAAAACTATAGTTGGAACACCCAGCAAGCGGCTTCGTCTTGTTGGTTTGTTTCGCTGAGCGGGTTCAACACTTCGGGGCAACGGCGGGCTGATGCAAGTAGTCGTCTGAACGAATGGTCCAAATAGTGGATCTTCGGGAAAAGTGGGAATCTTGACAATCTCTTTGAGTAGGCTTCTTGTGCAAGACTTGCGTATTCCCAGATAAAAACTCTACCCGAGTAACCTGCTTTTTTTGCCTCCTCTGGGGAGAGCCACAGATCACCTCCATAAAGAACTCTCATACACTGGTTGATTGCGCGGGCAGCGGACAACACTTTCGCAAGAGTGGGAGGCAAAGGTTCCCCACGCTCAACCAATGTATCCTCAATAAACTTGACATAGATTCTTGTGTCATCAAACTTGCTCCATCCCACATCAGGGGTGATGGACGGATTTCCTTGTGGAAACATCGCTCCATGAGGGCGCTGGTCGCCTTTCTTGATCCAAGCTGCTAGCATCCGTACAGTTGCGGCACGCCTGGCTGGTGCGCTTGTCTCTGGAAGGGTATCCATGAATTCTGCTAGAGCACTGGCTGCAAAGTCCATACCTATGCCACCGTGCCAGCAGTGCCAGATATCTGGTTTCAGGAAGTCATGAGGAGCATCGGGAAGATGATGCAACATAAGGAACGACGGTCGATTCACCCATGGTTCCGAGCACGGCACTGTCAACCACCTTGCGTTGTCTGAAAAATCTTCATAAGGGACATTCTTTTGGCCAGCTGCGCAAAGAAAACACATGCCTGGTGGATCCTTGGTAGCATCATCCTTGCGGGCAGCTCGTAGATAGTGTCTCGTGAGAGAGGCGGTTTTTGTCAGGTATGGTAGATCGCCCTTAAGGCCCAACACCTGAACTCGCCACATGCTGCCATCGTACTCAAACCCTTCATTTTGGAGGCTCAAAAGATCTCTGATCACTGCCTCAAAAACTGAGAGGTAAACCTCGGACTGGTTCGCGTAATACCTTCTAGGGATTGCCATCAGCAAGAACCGGGTCGAAAAACTGTGCCCCCGTAGGTTGAGAGTTTGACTCTGCTTCAGGTGCTTCTTGGAGACCTTTTTGGATTTGCTCTGACCCAGAATCGTTTGCAAAGAGACTATCATCACTCCAGACTTTTTGTAGCGGCGGCCCTCGTCGCCGTGAAGGTAACAAGGGATGGTTCTTCGGAGTGGTTGAGATCCTCCAAAAACCTGGTGGCCCGGAAACTCTTTCGAGTAAGATCTCCAGAAGCTAAGCAAGTTGTCCTCCACTTGCTCTTGGGGCACATTCCCTGCCAGCTTTCCAACTAAATCATGTTCTGCAAAATGCGACATGAAATCTGAAGGTTTCAGGTAGGGAAGGCTCTGCTTGTCAGAAATGTCCTGCCACGAGATCGGAATTGGCAAGGCCAGTCCGTGCTTGGGGAACCTCAGATGGTAAACAATGAAAATGACAGGACACAGGAGGTGCAGCACACTTTCACATTCATTGATTGCATCAAGATATCACGTACTATATTCACCAGAGAAAATTGCCAAGGACATCCAGCAACAGCGTATGAATTGTTTCTTCAGCTTTTTGAGGAGAAATCTCAGCAAGTTTACTGACGATCGGGCATGTCGTGAGTCCATAATGGGCTACTGCTGCTCTAGCCATGGCAGCAACGTTGGTTGCTCTTTCCTGGGCACATGTTGTTGCCGTTTGCGTGTTTACAAGAGAGCTTAGTTTGAGTTGTGTGATCAGCCCCGGACCCCGTTGCCAATCTGACGGGCTGCATAATGACCAAGCGGACCAACTTCACCTGGCCCCGACGATCCACAATAAAGACAGACACCCCATGGCCGATTGAGGTGTATGGACCACCGACAGCTGCTGGCTGCAGATGCTGAAGAAGAAGGCACTTTTCTTTTTCTAGCCCGATCGTGTCTAGCTATATTGAAATTGGCGTGAACTGAGTCACGCTTCAGACCCAAAAGCAACTCTTAGACCCTCAAGACCTATGGTCTAAGGTTTGCAAGACCCGCATTCAACTCTACTTAGACTTGGTCGAATCACGACCCTTCTTCTGCTTTTTCTTTGGGGCGGGCTGACTGTCAGCCCACTCCTCCTCACGTTCGGGTTCATCACCCCCGTCATGTTTAGCGTCTTTCCGCTTGGCAGGACCGGCTTTGGCCTTGCCCTTTGCTTTGGCCTTTGCTTTGGCCTTTGCCTTCGCCTGGGGAGGCGAAGTCTCCTGGCGTTTAGCTGCACGAGCTTCACGAAGAAGTGGCCTTGGGGAGCAGGAGGAAGACTTTTTAGGCATGTGAGATATGTTTGAGCAAATTTGCCATGCAATGCGAATACCTGCAGTATCTTCATGAGAACTTGTCGAGTAGTTTACGAGATAGCAGTGATACGCAATAAGTCATGGACGCAGCGTTGCTCTCCGCACGGGTGCATTTGCAGCCCCTGAGTCACCCAATTTGAGCATGTTCATGACCATATGTAATTACTCGATCCTTTCAATTTTAGCAGGAGCCAGGGCACAAAACCTCGGCTTTCTCAATGAGTTCTTCGAGCTTGGCGTCCATCCTTACTTGTTCGGGTTCTTATTGAGCACATCCTGTGAGTTTCTGCTACGAAGGATCTTTCCCAAACAAATATGGTTGCAACAAAGCTACTCTTGCGATTTGTTCTTCTTGGCTTTGGCTGCCTTGACGGCTATCTCATCGTAGCATGTGTCCATCTCGGCCTTCAAGCCCTCCATGGTCTTCTGAAGCCTCACATGTATACATGTCCATGGAGATTGCACGTGGTGTGGGCAGAACATCCCAAGCATGCGGCTTTTTGCATTGATCACTGTTGACGGTTGATATCTTGTTGTGGATCTCATCCAATTTGGCACTCTTGGTCAGCAGGGATTCCATCATTTGTGTCACCGTGTCATGAAGGTCCTGGAAACTATATAAGTGCAGGAAGATTCAAGATTGTTTACCCAAACCTCAAACATGGCTCATCAACAAAGGGATGAACAAGGGTCCTCCTTCTCCAGTTCTGCAGGTTGTTCATGATCAGTTTGCCCATCCCCCTCCTCCTCATGCTCAAGCGGTGCCTCATCGTCTGCCTCGAGTCTAGCAGGCAGCGAAGACAACTTTTTGCCCTTCAAAGGCTCGGAATTTGAAGATGCTCGCTGCTCTTCTTCTCTACGGGTATTCTTGGTTTCATTCGCCAAAGTCCCCCCCTCTTCAAAATCAACCCAGTGCTGGAAGACTTTGGAGTTGTACTTCCATTTCCTCGGAACACATTTCATTTGTTCATGAGCATGATTGGAACGAGCGAGAAGTTAAGACCCACACCTGCGAAGAGCAGGCCGAGTTGAAGTGTACTTCACCACATCGGCGATCTCACTCCTATAGAGCCAGGACACGTAAGGGAGTGACAACAGTTTGGGAGGCAGGTGCACATTGATCTATGGTCTATGGGTTACCTTTTGCTAAACAGACTCAAACTAGGGAGAGCACCTTGTCATCTTCAAAGTATCCTTCATCTCACTCTCCGTATACCAGCCAGACTTGATGTGCATCTCTTTTGATTTGGACTTCTCCACTGAAACGAGGACCTTGCGCTTCAGTTCAGCCTGTTGTGGATGGCAAGTGATGAATGTTTGGGGACATGTTGATCGAGGATTGTTGCAGCACAAAACAGCAGAGGAATAGGTACAAGTTGGCCTCGCCTTGTGCAAGTTGGCCTCCTTGAACATTTGAATCAAAGCTGGCCGCTTCTCCAAATCCAAGAACATGTCTCGGGCCTCTTGGCCACTAGCAATTTGACCACTCTTCTTGATTGCGCAGTAACGACGAAGCCGTTGTTCAATGGCAGAGTCTGACAAAATCTTTTTCCCGTTCAACAGGAATTGTCCATCGTCAGTGCGGGTGATGTTCTCGTCCTGGACAGGATATAAACGGGGCGGTTGTTCTTTTCAAACATAAGGCAATATTTGTTGAAGGGACAAACAAATTGAAGCAATCTCTAGGACAGCCTCATCTTCATCTGATACAGCGGCCGCCGACGGCGTACACCTTGAAGGTGCGGTGCGGACATCAGGTGCTGGGGGTTTGCCCTTCTGTAACGATGCGTTTTGTTGCTCCAACTCTGCCACCCGCTTCTGCAGAGCCTGCCAGATATATACATGGCAGCAATCCCGCCCCAGTAATTAGAAACAGACATGT